AAAAAAAAAAAAAAAAAAAAAAAAAAACGCAAACAGAAGCCCACCTGAGCAGTAAGACGGGAATATAGCCAAAAGAAGCTTAGAAGAAGCGGAATGGAAGAGCAGAAAATAAAAAGTATCATGGCAGCCGCTCGGACCTTCTTAACCCTGTGGGAGTGACTATAAAATAAGATTACCAACAAAAAACAAAGATAAAACGCGAGAAATGCAAATGCAGCCGTTACACAACATCCTACGCTGAAACAGAAAAAGAATAATTGATCCCGAAAGTGAATTGTTATAGTGACTAAATGCTAACTACTTTTTAGTGTATAAACCAATGTTTATTATGTATTATAGACATAAAAGTTTGTCATTAAAACGTTATCGGGTGTGAAGAATCTATATATGAAAGACAATATCGAGAATAAATACAACACTGCAGTCTTCAGGAAACTTTATATTCCCGATCTTTTATACTATTCCAATACAAACCAATAATGCAGCATTCAAAATTTTATGCTCGAAAATCCCGCTGACGATTGAAAGATGTTAAAGAAGGCCTCCTGCCAAATTCAACTTTTATTATTAACAACGGAAAGAGGCCAAAAAAAAAACTTACATCAGAAGCACCAAATGCGTTTTGTTTTCAATAAAAGAAGTACGGAAACCCTCAGCTTTACGACTCTCCTAAAAAACTATTCGTTTAAATGTAAGCGAGTACGCGGAACTGCAGTGGCTAAAAGCTTTCTACAACCTGTTTGTTTCAAAGCGTAATAGCCACTCGTTTTCGACTAGTGAGGCTTTGCGAAGATTTCTGTCCTATTTAACGTTTACGCCTGCAGCATTACCTTTATCAGGCCTACATTTAAGCTGTGCGCTGGAGCAGCGAATTTTAAGGCGTTCTGGTTTACTTCTGGTCATTAGACGGCTTGTTGGCTGAATTTTTCCAAATATTCCGTTTTGCGTAACTTCAACCAAGAATGGAAAACCACGTAACTGCAACCAAGAATGGAAAACTAGAAGTAGTCGGATGGAAGTTAAAACCTAAGTATTATGGAACCAAAAATTAAATTTGCTTGGATTTCCTCAAACTTTCTTCTGTCACTGCTGTCGCTGGCGCTGCTGATGCTAAAAACCGATGAATCAGCCGTGTTTAGAGGATGCAAAAGTTGACTAGTTCTGCGCTCTTTTAATAATTAGCTGAATGAATACAACATGCCTACTTACAATTGCTGTTTTTACAGCAAGAAATGGGGAGAAATGACCACTTATACACGTCCATCAGTCTTTTTCTTTTTTTCTGGATGCTTAAATTCCTGTGATAGTCAGTAATTTAATTATTTGTCTTTTTCTTAGAGGAACGCGTGAAAAAACAGGGCGAGAATTTTAGGCGGCTTGAGAATGGAGGAGAAAGCAGCAAAGTGCTTTTGGTAACAGCTAAAGTGTTTAGTTTCATAACGCCTGCATGCAGTAACAATATTTGTCAGTTGTGTTTTGTGGCGTAAAATGAAGGGCAAAAAGCAAAGAGCAATGTTCTTTGTAGGTTGAAAACCACAAAAAAAAAACATTACTCAGTGAATAGATGAGAAAATCATATACATATTAATATAAGAGAACAAGAAATCCTGCTTTTTTGCCTCCTGGACAAAGTTTATCTCATCTGTTAAACTCGTTTAACTCTTTTAGTGAAGAAGTGTTTTGCTCCTATTTGTAACTAATACCAGTTTGATTTTAACTGAAAACGATGTAGTGAGAAAAATGGCAAAGTGAAGTGCTTTTCAATTAGAGCATGATTATGTCAATCGTCCAGCGCGACTTCATGTTTTTTTCAGTATGTAGTGGTAAAGCCTTTTTTCGGAAGAACTGTTTTTTCCAATGAATCATAACTGCTTAAACAAGCCAGTAGCAAAGAAGTAACGCTGAAATTATGAATTATCAGTCATAGAACTATTCTTTTTACTGCTGTCGAAACGGTCCGGCACAAATGCACAGAAACAAAGTAAGAAAACGACTCAGAATAAAGGTACAAAGTTCACTACAGAGCATCAAGTCCTCAGCTTTAATTCACACAATTGGACACACATTGTTGCAAGACTTTCACGTTTCAGTCTAGATTTTCCACATTTTTAACTCCATCTCCATTCCTTTCTTCTCATTTTTATCCACCTTACCCTTCTCTCCCTCAGTTATACTTTCAAACATAAAAGTGGAAAAAAAAAATTAAAGTAAAGTTAAATTTGCTCAGCAGCTGCTATAGAATCTGTAAAAAAAACTCTGAAAAACAACCAAAAAAGAGTTAAAGAAGAATGATAGAAAGATAAAGCCATATAAAAAGCCACTGAATAAAAATGAAGTTATTTTCGGCCATATGTCTCAAAAAGACTTAGAAATGCACAACGTCTTTACGGATGCGATCTTATTTATTGCTCGAAAAAAGCCGTTGCACATATACACGAACATTTTCCAATTCTTATCGTATCTGCCCAACGGGAAAAAAAAGGAAGACGTGAAAGTGGAATCCTAACCTAAAAATCGTGGCAGTTTCTACTTGAACAAAGTCCTGCTACATAAACAAAAACACTTAAAAACCCAGATAAAACCTGTTGAAAAGCACATCAATTTCTACAGAAAAAATTCCCATGAAAAACATCAACAATGAATTACTCAAATTGAAAAATGAAGAGAAAAAAATTAAGTTTAATCAAAGCTATTATCAGTAATCAACCACTTCAGTAAATTTGTTGATGCATTATATATAAATATAAATATAAATACATAAATATAAATATAAAT